CTTAAGAAATCTCATTGGCTGCTGTAAGCTGCCCGTGTGTCTTTTGTTGACCAAGGAAGGCAATAGAAAATGAGGGGGGCCAACCCATTTTCGAAGTTAATGTCCAAGTAATTCCAAATCTCTGGAATGTTTCACAAAATGCTCAGACCGTTCACAGCTGTGCATCTTTGCTATCATGCTATCTCTGTCAGTTAACTTGATGGGTTAGGCACCTCAAAAAAAAATGCACCCACAAAATAAAATGCCGGGGTCTGACCCATTTTATTTTCATTTTATTTTGATTTTTTTATTTTAAAAGGGGCTCCTGCCCCCCATTTTATTTTTGTACGCCGGACGGGGGTGTTCAAGCCCTCTATAAACGATATCTGAGCAAGATCTCCGTTCTCTGCACCGGGTCTCTGTACAAGCTCCCTACAAGAGGTCTCTTGGCAAAATCTCCGTAGGAGACCTCTTGGCCAGATTTATGTATGTGATAGACCTCTGGGCGAGATCTCTGCAACAAATCTCAACACGTAGTCTCTGTGCAAGATCTCCATAAGAGGTGTCCTGGCAAGATCTCTTTATGATGTCTCTGTCGAAGCTGTCTAAAAGAGCTCCCTTGGCAAGATCTGTGTAAGGGACCTCCTGGCAAGATCTCAACGGATCTCTATGCAATGTCTCTTGGCAAGATCTGTTTCAGATATCCCTGCACAAGCTCCCTAAAAGCGACCGCTTGGCAAGAGCTCGGCAAGAGCTGGCAAGGTCTCTGTACAAAATCTCTCACAAATGTCTCTTGACAAGATCTCTGTAGAAGCTCCCTATTCGAGGTCTCTTGGCAAGATCTCTTGAAGAGATCTCTATCTCTATTGAAGTTTGTATAGGAGCTCTCTTGGCAACCACCTCGAATGAACACCCGGTCTTAACCCCTACTATAAGAACCCCAAGTGTGGCCAGTGTTTGGGGAAACAAAATAACTGAAAATGGGTTTGGCTGGAAATAGGGTACCCCAAAAAAGCCAAGATGAGCCAAGGCGCCAGGGATCTTCGACTCCGATACATTCGACTTGTTTGAAGTCTCTTTCCTTAGCACAGCGGCAAACTGACCCTTGATTACTTGATTTCAATGAACCATCCCGAGGCACCAACCACGGCTGAGATTCCATCCTAGAACCGAGCTTTTTAGTGGCAGTTGATGGCACTTCTTCCTCCATAGCTGGCCAGGAGTTATAGCTGACATAACTTTTAACAATGATGTCCTCTTAACAGTAGTACAAAGAGAAGGGTTGGTTTAGTTTAGCACCATGTATTCCGATGTATTCTGTATTCTCATTCGAAAAACTTGTTCAATGATTGTCAGCCGTTTGTCAATCAACCATCCGCTGGGAAAAGCACTGGCACTATGCCGTTTAACCTTGAACTTACTGTGTTGAACTGGCCTTCTTTCAGGCACCTCCTCAGACATCCGGTTCTCGACCATTAAGTCATTAAGTGGATTGATTCTAAGGGAGGTACCTGAAGGAGACCGTGATTTTCGTTCCCGAACATGCAGGCTGCTGGGGTTTCCGCCATGCATCAAGTCTCGGGCTGGTGGGGATCCCAAATAAGAACGGACCCTAAACCACCGGGTCAGGCATGTTTCCACATTGACTCGTGATATAGCAATCCTCTTGGACCATCTTGGACCCAAACTACTTCAGTACAGTTTGGCATCACTTAAGGCAATGTTTGACCCACCAAAAGGATCCAAATGATCCAAAAAGATCATCCATTCTTGTAAGGTTGTCTATTTCTGGTCCCTACAGTAATTATAGTAATTCCCCTTAAACACATACTCGGATTGGTGCCCCTTTCGGGATAAATACTGGGGTTCTGTTGGTTTCGCCAACCAATGATTCTGCGGTGGGTTGGGTGGCTTGAAATCCCAAGGATACCAGATCAATAAATCTTGGTTGATTCATTAGGGTGCTTCCCTCCAAATAGTCATGATCACTACCCAAATGGTAACCCCCACTGCAATTAAAATCAATAAGAATCCCGGGTTACAACCCAAATCGCTAGGCCAGGCCATTTATTTGAGCCAAGCCTCGCCGCCCCTTTCGATACGTTCTTCAGAGTTTGTACCTACAGGAAGTCAAGAAAGGTACACCTTGCAAATCATGGAGACGATGGTCTTAAACTTAGATACATGTTTCCTCAAAACGTGTAGCATGCATTTTTGATTTACACCGATATGCCACTGCCTTATAACTTCTGCATAGATACAAACAACTTCCAGCGCGCCAGCAGGCTCCCTGGTTATCAGGACCCTTCTGGGGAAACAAAAGCAACAAAAGAATCCTCACATTGCTTCTGATATCCTGAAATTTGTTGCTCATATCATATCCCAGTCTGTTTTGGGGTTGCTTGGGTTCCTGCTGAGACGAATCCTATAATCCTTCTTGATTCCCCTGGGTTACCAACTTTGCGCATATTTGAACAAACTTAAAAGGGTCACAAAAAAAAACAAACAAAAACATTCAGCAAATCCATCTTGTTTATTTGTTTTGAGATCTTCCTCCATCGTGATGGAGCCATGCCCATCATGCCAATAAAAATGGAAAAAACATGCTTTCAGTTATCAGTACTATACAATATGCAGCAAACCCAAAAATAAACCATCTCCAACATCACTTACACTATACATGGGTGGGATTCCAACCATCCCCGTATAAGTTTATGGCGTTGGGTGAATCCCCTCCATTGCGCGATGGTTTTGATCCTCATGCGTCATACATGGTGAGGTCGTCCACTGAAATCACCGTCACTTCCCAAATGAACCTCAGCATCCTCAAGCATATAGAAATAAATAAATAGATAGATGTGTTTTTTTTAATGGCTCATGTTTCTCCTCGAACTAGGTTGACCGCCTGGCAAACAAATATATATTTGCAATACGATTCACAAACAGTTCAATGATACTTTAAAAGCAGCAGAACTAAGGTCTCCATATTTTTACCTCTGAAAATCGAATGTTTTTCCCAACATCTAAACGTGTTCATTTCATGATTTTAACGACAACCAATGAGCCTTCTCGTTCACCTCCGTCTGTGTGATGTCCTCCGCCTCTAAGACTTCCAAGAGTTTCAAGCTGCCCTGGCCGAGGATTAGGGCCATATGTAATCCGTACAGAATCAAACCCATATCCTCTGACACATTCATTTATATCACTCTAAAAGCTGGGTGTATGTATATATATATATACTTGAGAGGGGGAACACGAAAGGTAGGTAAGCAAGAAAGGAACCGAAGAAAAAATGAAGGGGAGAGGGGAGGGAAAAATACATAAAGTGGAGTCTGGTAAAAGCGATGCGGCCATTTTCTTTCCAAAAATATGAAGGGGAGTCTGCTAAAAGCGACTGAAAGGCTTCGGCGATGTGGTTGGGGTTGGTGGTGGTTGTGGTGTTGGTGGTGTTGGTGGTGCTGGTGGTGTTGGTGTTGTTGGTGGTGGTAGTGTTTCTGGTGTTGTTAGTGTTGTTGGTGTGGTTGGGTTTGTTGGTGGTGTTGGTGTTGTTGGTCGTGTTGTTGGTGTTGGTATTGTTCGTGTTCGTGTTGTTGTTGTTGTTGTTGCTGTTGTTGTTGTTGTTGCTGTTGTTGTTGTTGCTGTTGTTGTTGCTGTTGTTGCTGCTGCTGCTGCTGTTGATGTGTTGTTGTTGTTGTTGTTGTGTGTTGTTGTGTGTTGTTGTGTGTTGTTGTGTGTTGTTGTGTGTTGTTGTGTGTTGTTGTGTGTTGTGTTGTTGTGTGTTGTTGTTGTGGTGTTGTGTGTTGTTGTGTGGTGTTGTGTGTTGTTGTGTGTTGTGTGTGTGTTGTGTGTTGTTGTGTGTTGTTGTGTGTTGTTGTGTGTTGTTGTGTGTTGTTGTGTGTTGTTGTGTGTTGTTGTGTGTTGTTGTGTGTTGTTGTGTGTTGTTGTGTGTTGTGTGTGTGTTGTGTGTGTGTTGTGGTGTTGTTGTGTGTTGTGTGTTGTGTGTGGGTTGTTGTGTGTTGTTGTTGTGTTGTTGTGTGTTGTTGTGTGTTGTTGTGTGTTGTTGTGTGTTGTTGTGTGTTGTTGTGTGTTGTTGTTGTGTGTTGTGTGTGTGTTGTGGTGTGTTGTGGTGTGTTGTTGTGTGTTGTGGTGTGTTGTTGTGTGTTGTTGTGTGTTGTTGTGTGTTGTTGTGTGTTGTTGTGTGTTGTTGTGTGTTGTTGTGTGCGTTGTTGTGTGTTGTGTGTGTTGTGTGTTGTTGTGTGTTGTTGTGTGTTGTTGTGTGTTGTTGTGTGTTGTTGTGTGTTGTTGTGTGTTGTTGTGTGATGTTGTGTGTTGTTGTGTGTTGTTGTGTGTTGTTGTGTGTTGTTGTGTGTGTGTTGTTGTGTGTTGTTGTGTGTTGTGTGTGTTGTTGTGTGTTGTGTGTGTTGTGTGTGTGTTGTTGTTGTGTGTGTTGTGTGTGTGTGTGTTGTTGTTGTGTTGTTGTTGTTGTGTGTTGTGTGTGTTGTTGTGTGTTGTTGTGTGTTGTTGTGTGTTGTTGTGTGTGTTGTGTGTGTTGTGTGTTGTTGTGTGTGTTGTGGTTGTGTGGTGTGCGTTGTGCATTGTGCGTTGTGCATTGTGCGTTGTGTGTTGGTGTTGTTGTTGTTGTTGTTGTCGTCGTTGTTGTTGTTGCTGTTGCTGTTGGTGTTGCTGTTGTTGGTGTTGGTGTTACCCCTGCAGCGCTTTTGCTCGGTTCCGTAGTGGCCGAAAATCGTCAAATCGGTGGTGTTTTCGCGTGTTTTTGCAACTCTCGGAGCAAAAAACACCGTAAATACCGATGTTTTTGGCGGGTCGGAAGCCCAAAACCACAGTATTTACGATGTTTTTGCCTCTGGTAGTAAAAAGCACGGTATTTACAGTGTTTTTTGGCCAGCACCTAGCAAAAACACTGGTATTTACGGAGGTTTCACCATGTAGCAAAATGTGGTTTCTTGATCCGAAAAGAACAAAAATACTGTAAATTACAATGTTTTGAGTCTGCTCTTAGG